GTGTTTGATGGTCAGAGCACAATCTCAAATGTATGTTTTTTCTTTCTATGTTTTTTGAAACAGGGTCTATATGCATCTGCCAAGCTAGTTGGCCCACCAGCTTCTGGAATTTCTCTTTCCTATGCCTCCCAACTCACTGAAGAATCACCAAGATTACAGATGTTCTACAATGCCCAGCTTTGTGTGAGTTTTGGGGATCAGAGTTTAGATAGCCATGCTGCATAGCAACTGCCTCACACACTGAGCCATCACCCCAGCCTCTTCTCTTTTGTCAAGTATAATTTTTGATCAACTTATAACATAAAGGTGATTTTATAACACTTTCTATAAAGGAGAGAAAATGTTTTTCTTCATTTTCAATGAGAGGAAAAAAAAATGTTTCCAATGATAGTTTTATGTGTTTCACAACTGGTTATGTTACAGGTTCTTAGTCCTCCCTTAATTCTCTTTTGTAGCTGAAATGGGTGAAATGAAGAGCTTTTCACAGAAGAGATTCTGACTCATAAAGTTCAAGCCTCCGTTCTTCTCTGCTAAGCACATGCCCTTGGGCCAATGCTGTAGTTCACAGTTAGGCAGCAAGAAGACCCTGTACACAGATACTGTGTCAGGACACCAGATGGAGTGCTAGAGTACCTCAGAATTGTTTCTGTAACAGAACAGGAGCAAAGCCTAGCTCAGCCAAGTACAGTGTCTCACTCACTCAGCCTGAGTAAACTCCGAGCAGTGCTCTACTGAGCATGTTCTCACAAACAGCCACACTCACTGATTCTTTCTCACACAGCATAAACACCACTGGCTTCTGCCGTGTTCCCCCTCCTCCCACATCTGCTGGCCGTCCAGCCCACTTGCTGTCATCCTTAGCCTTCTTTCCCCTTCATCTCATCCTTCCCATCTTCTACGTCCATTCATTCTGCACATCTCATTCCTTCATCCTCTTTGCTAACGCCCCCACAAACAATTTTTAAGAAATCATAAACCACCCCCAAAACTAAGTTTATCTTCTCAGAAACCTTGAGGTGACTTTTTACTACAGCACGTTGTCTGAGGTGATTTTTAACCTCCTTTCCCCCTTCTGCATCATTTCTACTGTTTGCCCAATGGATTGTGCCTGTAACTTGTCCTCTCAGATTAACTGCATTTTCCATGAAAGGCCCCTTTCCCAGCTGTGTTCCCTTTTCATAGCATGCTCCTTCTGTTTCTCAAAGTTATACCCAGTATCCCAATTTTAGATCTTTTCTAAAACATCTTTAACCATGAGTAATAACCCGCTTTATTGGAACATGGGTAATCTTAATTGGACTTGAAATTTATGCTGTGCTGTTTTCTTATTCATTTAATAGGAATACTAAACATGCATACATGTTTTAGTGCATATAAGTACAACACCTTTCCGAAGATATCATAAATAGATTTAATTCAATGGCTGTTACCATGAACTTTATTTAGAACTACAAAGACAAGTTTAAGAAATATTTTCTTCTTTAGACTGTATGAAATCTTGTAAATGAGAGAAAAGGGTAAAATGACTTTTAATAGAGACTAGGTAAGATTAAAAACAAATGGAACAAATACATATCTTTCTCTCCCAGTAGACGACAAGTATATTAGACAATGTATTTTTTAAATATTTTATTATTTTTATTTTATGTGTGTGAGTGTATTGCCCGCATGCATGTGAGTGCACCCATGTTGTGCAATGACATGGAGGTCAGAAGAGGGCTTTGGATTCTCCTGGAATTGGAGTTAAGGATGGTTTATAGCCACCATGTGGGTCCTGGGAATTGAACCCGGATCCTCTTCAAGAGCAGTGTTCTTAACCACTGAGCCATCTCTCCAGCCCCCAACAATGTATTTTTAAACAGAGTTTGTGGGGACCTAAAGGCCCCACCTTGCATAGGTCCTAAAAGCCTATGCATAGGACCTAAAGGCCCCACCTTGCATAGGAAGTTACTGGGGGCACGGCTTGGCTTGCTTTGAATGTCTGAAGAATACTTCCACACTGCTGAGGAGTACATGATCAGCGAGTGACCATCCTTAAGATACACCCTCGTGGGGAGGGGGGAGTTCCAGGTGCCTTTATAAGCTCTGTAATACCTGTAATAAATGAGTCCCTGCTTGACTAGACTCCCTGTTGTGGCTGAGTGTCCCTGGGAAATGGGGGCTGCATGGGCTGGTGAGCAGCATGCTTACTCATCCCCAATCCTCACTATGGCGGGGGCCGCTGGTTCGAATCCCCGGCAAGAGTTGACAAGGGAACCCAGTTTCTGTGGATATCAAATTCTCTATAGTTGGAGGTGTTCATGGAGGGGCAGGGAGATGTGCTAAGTATTACCAAAGGGATTTGAACATCCATTAACTGACTGTATCGTGAAGTGCAGGTGATCTGTGTGCATTCTCTGTAAGACGAATTCTAGGTAAGGTTATGTCATGCCCTTTATTGAGAGAAAGAACAATGTAATAACGACAGCAGACCCTATAGCAACAGAAAACTGAGTGCACATTTAGTTCCCAGCTTCGGTTTCCCCCTCTAACAACATGCTGAAATTAATGACTCTTTGGTAGTATCAGCACCAGCTTAAGTGAGTTAATAAGGAATGACTGGAGCCTACCAAGTGTTCAGAAGTTTCAGCTTCACATCTGTCAATGTATTATCCACTGGTAGATCTGATGGGCTTGCTATTTTATGTCATGTGAACTTTTGTTAAAATCTACTTTTCAATTTTTCATATTTACTTCAGCTATGATGATAGCTCTCTGAACCTATTCTTCTACACAGAGCTTCAGTGAGAAGAAAAGAAGCTTTAAAATATTTAAAGTCTGGACAAGGATATGTAACAAACTAAAATTCACATTTCTTAAGACTCAGCTAACACTAATGATGTTCTTAAAACAGCAATCTCAGTTATTGTAAGCTGTTTCTTGTCAGACCAGCTGCAAGGAGTAGATTTCATTACCCACATACCTTCTGAGTGGTCAGAAACTTAATGCTGAGACTCAGCAGGACTGAAGGGGTGTGGAGAGGGAATTGACTCACACTGTGATTTATAATAAAGGGAATCATTTCCAAAGAAATTTTATCTGAGAGTTAACAACTCCTTTGAGATTTTCACCATCAACTCAGCAGGATACTCTTATTTTGTTACACTTAACTTTTGTTTTTCTTACCTCTTACAAAGGAGTCAATCCTCTAAAATTACAGCAGAGAGTAGCTGAGTCTAAGTGTAATCCAGTTTGATCCTACTTCAGAGATTGCTATTAGCATCCTACCAGCCATGTCTGAAACCTTATGTATTCATTATATTAGTTTTAGGACAAAATAATTACAATATAAGTGACATGTTTTAATAAGTCTTAAGAGTTTTGTAAAAACTGTATGTACACACCTTTTTCTGTCATCAATGACAGGCTATTGTAGAGGTATTTTGAGATGTTTGCCAAACTTAGATTGCTCCTCTCTAGAAACTAGTGTTTCCCCATTGAAACAAAGATGAGATGGGGGGATGTGGGGAGTGATTCCTGACAGTTCCTAACTCTTTGGTCCAGGCATTTGAAGAGGGCTTGGAATATTAATGTGATTTTAAGATTTCCGTTCTCCTGAAGAGCATACCCTTTCATAGGTTTCCCCTTTCAGAATGCTAGGTTTATTTCCATGAATTTTTAGTGATCATCTAATTTCCTCTAACTTGCCCTAGATTCTAGTACTTTGCTTTATTAACTGTAAATACATACATGAAAAGCTACAGCTCTGTTTGGCCAGTCTTGTTCTCTTCCAAAGTACAATACGTGCCCTGGAAGGTTTTAATGAATAGTAATTCTGACTATTGAAACGTTTCTCATTTCAGTGTTTTGTGTGAGTGTGAGTCTGTGGTGTGTGTGTGTCTCTGTGGGTGCACAAATCCTTGCATGAGCATGTGGTGGCCAGTGGTTAATGTTAGATGTCTTCTTTTATTGCACCCCACCTTATTTTTTAAGGCAGGGCCTCTCACTGAACCTGAACCTGGAGCTCATCCCTGGCTATCTAGAAAGTCCTTGGAATCTACCAGTCTTTGAATATTTATATGATTTCAGTTCCCAGCACATGATTGCTAACTATTCTTCAAGGATTTAAACTTAATGAGTATTCATGGAAGACATTTGAAAAGCACAGTGTTTATGGAAGGTAGATTGAAACACAAAGATCACAAGTTGCGCATAGTAGAGAGGTTAAAGGCACAATAATCCCTTGTTGTAGGCTGATGATCTGGCTTTTATCAATTCAATTTAGTCTTTCTGGTGGACCTCCAGTGATTACAAAATGATAGGAAACTCTCTTTTTCAAGTCTCACAATACAGCCGAATTGGGCACAGAGACTATAATACAATGTGACTAGTGGAATACGGACAATTCAAACCAAAGGTCCAAGGGTGCCGGAATTCACAAGCTGACCTGGAGATACAGTGGGTGGGAAATCCTGGTGAGTACTTAGAGACACCGCATGTCTTCTATTCATTCTCTAAATTCTGATTCTATATCTTTCAAACGATGAACAAAAGAGTAGGTTATCTAAGTGAAAGACAAGCCACACATTTCTCATTATTGCCAGAGTTTATAGTATAATAACATTATATTTGTCAAGTATTTCTGAGAGTTTTGCTAATGTTTATTATGCCCCAGGAGAATTCTCTGACCATGTAATGATTCACATTCTGCTCATAATGATTTATTATTATTTATAATGACCGAGCTGATCAAACATTGTAAAGATAGGAAAACCTCCAAAAATCTTGATTCTTAAAGCACAGGATATTTATGTCGCATTAGCCAGTGAGGGCACCTGTGAAATGAGAGCTTCTCGTGAAATGCTTTCCCATAAATCCATTGCTCCTCCACTGCTTCGAGTCTGCTGTGAACGACATTTGTTTTCTGTAAAAATATTACCTCCTGTATTGATGGTATGATGCACAGCTTCTTAAACAATACATTTAACTGTTTGTTATTACAGATTCTTGCGAGTACTTACATATTCTTCATAAGCCTCATGGGCTGGGGGAGGGGGTGCTCTGTATCCTGGTACTGCTGCTGTCCCTCTGGCTCGAGGGGTAGGGACACCTCTCGCTACAGGGGGCACCGGAAGAGCTCCCCGTGTCACAGTGGTCCCTCGTGGGGTAAGAACACCACGTCCAGGAGGTGGAGGAGGAGGAACAGCACCCCCGCGGCCCCTAGATGGTCACAAGAAGATGAAGGGAAAGGACAACAGATAAAACTCTCAATTCAGCGCCTCTCCAACTTTTGATCCCCCCAACTTGATAGATATCATATAAGATGCAAAGTGTTTTGCCATCCACATTAAAACACAGTTTTCTGAGTCAGGGCTGTCCTGTAGCCCCAGCTAGCCTGGAACTCTATGTACAGCAGGTTGGCTTTGATAGTAGGGATCCACCTGCCTTTGCTTCCTGGTGCTAGGACAAAAAGTGTGCACCACCATGCCTGGCTTTAAGATGCTTTTCTTTAAACATTATGATGTAGTCTTCATGAAAATTGTGTAAACTATTTTTATATTTTATATTATATAAGTTTAAAAGAAAGAAACAAGAAAAAGAAAATTGTACCTTGATTATATTTCAAATGTAGCAGGAAAAGTCAAATCAGAGCATTATTTGAGATATGCAGGGCTGGCCACCTGTGGGGCCAACCTCAGGTGTCTAGGTCTTCTTCCCTCAGAGAATTATTGACTATGATGTACAGTGTGCACAATTAAAACAAAACAAAACAAAACACAAAACAAGAAACAAAACCAAAAACCCTCATCAGCCTGCCTGTTAATAAAATGTGTGACTCTGGCCAGAGTGATATCATTGTGTTGTTATAACAGCTTAAGTTTCAAGTCATGTGAATCACAATCAGTCCTTATTGATTTATCAGCATGCATGGCACCCCTTCCCTTTCATACTTTCCTATGGGAACTACGGTGCTAGTGAGTCAGTATTTGATAAAAAGACACTAGATTAAGTGTTAACACAAAAGTCACTTGAACTAAAAGCATGGGATCAAATGGGTACAGCCAATTTTTATGACATTTGGAAGCCTTTAGAAAAGGTGAGTGTTTGTCTGACATCTTAGAGCAAATGCACGGTTATTTCGTTTTTTATTATGTCTGGAGGTTGGCCTCAAAAAAGCACTGCTTTCAGCAGGAACACTAACGCTTTGAGGAAAATGATGATCATTGGGATGCGAACACTCACAGTGTTTGGCTGTGCTTGCATATGGGGATGTGGGTTATGATTTCTACTATGAATAGCAGTCAACTGGCTCTTTCTTCCTTGCAGAAAATGAGCTTTTAGAAGTGAAGAGTAAGTATGCTGGTAAACCTTCTAAAAGTTTAGATTGTAAACCTTATCAACAGAGAATTTAATGTGGACTAAATCTACAGAGCACTAGCCTAGACCTGGGGACAACAGGAAATGTTTAAAGCTGCAGAGGCAGCTCCAAGAACAACCGTGGCTAGGAATGAAAGATCCGATGTTATCATAATAACAAAAAACATTGGTGAAAGAGAATGTAAATACCAAATTTGCCTTAGCTTCTGTTGTAGTTTGAATGTGAAGTCCTGCTGTTTGGGGAGGTTATGGACTCTGCAGAAGGGGGAGGCTTGTTGGAAGAAGCAGGTACCTAGGGATAGACCTTGAGGGTGAGAGCCTGGTCCCAGTTCCTGTGCACTCTGCTTCTTGCTCTACTGAGATGTAAGGAGTTACGCTGTCCCAAGCACAGACTCCCCTCATTATTGGTCACATTCCACTGTGCCTTTCCCACCGTGATGGATTATATTCCCTTAAAATGTGAACCAAATAAACATTTGTTTCCTTCCTTAAGCTGCTTCTTGTCAAGTATTTGGGCAAAACGAGGAAAAAAGCAGATTTTAAGTACCTGTTTGCTCACAAACCACACAAGGCCAGGCTTGTCAACTGCTGCACTAATCCCTGTTCAGTTAGCATTTTAATAATATCAAAAGTGCCCATGTGTTGATAACAAATCTGTGGCTTGGCTGCATCACTAAATAATGGTGGGTAAGCATTTGATCTAAAACATACTTTTTCCTAATGACTACTATCCATATTTATATATCTATATTTTTTGGTTTTATAATTATGAAATGTTCACATCCAATTCAATTTTTAACTTTGGGTCTGAATCCAGCCCTAGGAGTACTTTATCCTGAATCTGTCTCGTTATCTCCTACACACGTGCTCTTTCATTTCTCTGCATGTTAACCCCATTGATTTCTCCTAGTCAACTTACAACACACATCACCTATTTTAGGATACTCTCCTGGGCTAAATGCCCAGCACAACATTCTTTTTTTTTTTAGTTTCTTATTTCTTCAAAGAACATTTTCTGCATTTAATTTTTTACTTCATACTCATTCCTGAGCCTAATCAATTTAGTCCTTATCCACTACTCTTGGAAGACACCCTTGAGACCTCCAGGATCTCAGCCTGACAATTTCCTCTTAGAGTTCCCATGACATGCAGCTCCAGTATTATACTGAAGACTCTGTGGGTTATTATCTGGAAAATAATTCTTTGGACATTTAGTCTTTCTTTTCTCAAGATAGGGCCTCCCTGTAGCTCAAGCTGGCCTGGAACTTGCTATGTAGACCAGACTGGCTTCTAACTCATAGAGATCTGCTTGCCTCTGACACCGAGTGCTGGGATTAAAGGTGTGGGCCACCTCGCTGAGCTAGGACCTTCATTCTTTTCTCCACTCTTGACTCTCTGTATTTCAAGTGGTATTCATTTCTGTCAGTCTTGGGGAATGGGAGGGTCTTTCATTGTCTCCCCAACTATGAAGCAGTCTCTCTCTCTCTCTCTCTCTCTCTCTCTCTCTCTCTCTCTTTCTTTCTCTGTCTCTCTTCTTGCCTCCCCAATAGGTATAAATTTTATCATCTACAGTATTGACTAAGAACCTTTCTAAAAAATAGCTATGATTTTGGCTCTCTTTTAAAACTTTAGTAGTTTTATATATTAATTCTTATTGGTTTCCATAAAAAGCCTTCGAAGTCTGCCCCTAATGATAACAATGCACTACTATTTATTCCATTATTGAACAAATTATAATTTTAGAATAAAGATTTACCAAAGGCAATATCCATTTAAATTTGATAAATACTCTGCACCAAAGTAAACCTTTTTTCCCTTGAACTGCTTCTTGTCAAGTCTTTGGTTACAACGATGCAAAAAATGACTAATTCAGCTTCCATGCCCCTGTTTCCTTATGCTGATAATGAAGAAAAATCTATTACTATAAAGATTCTTTAAATTTTAAAATAAGATAGATGAATTATTGTTAAAAGGTTAGACACTCAAGGAACACAGAGGAAATGAATGGCCTTGTTAGTCATCCTAAACATAAAGTTATATTATCTCCACTAAACTGATGATACTGCATGAATTGATATTTCTGAATAACAAAAGCAGCTATTTTCTATGACTCAGACCATATGATTAACCCGTTTAAGGTAACTTGTGATGCTGTTACCAAAGATCTCACTATTTACCAAAATGATGTTAGAAATGGAAATATTTCATGAATGACTGATACCATAAAAAAGTATATGTGAAATCAATCAATGTTTAATCAGTAAGCAAATGACCTTGAAAAGTATTAGCATGCTTGAGGTTTTTTGAGCTAAAAATATGAAGAGCTTTAGAAAAATATGTGTTTTCCTTTAGTCAGATTTAATTTCCACATTGTCATATTTTCCTATACATACCTGTTTCCTTGATAGTTCCTTTGTAAATTCTTTACTTTTTTCTGATAAAGGGCAACTTTTTAAAGTATTTAATATTTAAATGTCTAAAACAGTAGCATTTTCATAATGATGAATGAACTCTGGGCATTAATTAAAACCGCAGAATATCAGTATCTCTTAAGCTAATTTCTACATGATGAATGAGATATTATTCTAGATGTGTTCCTCCCCAACCCTCCAACAGCACTGGGTTACAGATCCACATGGCTTTTTACATGGATGTTAGACATTTTTTATTTATTTACTTACTTTATATATATATATATAATTTTATTTGTTTATTTTGGTCTTTTTGAGACAGGGTCTCCCTCGTAGTCCCAGCTGGCCTGGAATTCACCATGTAGACCAAGCTGTCCATGAGCTCACAGAGAACTGCCTGCCTGTGCCTCCTGAATGCTGGAATTAAAGGCATGTGCCACTATGCCCGGTGAGTATATATATTTCAACATTTAAACAGAAAAGCTTTACTCTGGCTCATACTTTTTTACAGTTCTAGGCCACGACTGAGCAGACCCAGTGCTTTCAGGCTTCTTACAGAAAGCAGGCAGAGGGTAGGGGGCAGCCCAGTATGGCAGCCCATGGCAGAGCAAAGCTGCTCACATTGTAGAGGAAATAGAACAAGTTCTCACAGAATACTCAGAAGGTGCTTACTTGTGTGATCCCAAACTTCCCACTATATCCAACCTTTTAAAGTTCCCAGTACCTATCAATAGCACCAATTTGGAGTGTAAATGCTCAGGGATGTTAGTCGATAGTTTTTTTCTGTGGTGTCTTTACCTGCCTTTGCTACTTGAATATGAGTGTATGTTTGCCTTTTTATAAACTAATATTTTCTGTTAAAAGTTTGAAAAATTCAGAATCTTAACAAAACAAATTCTAAAAGAGAAAATTTTTAGTTGTTAAGCAATTTGCAAAGCCAAATACATAGAAACCTTATATAACCTTGCCCACAATCATGCAAATGTGAGCTTCTGGCTATCCTGAATGATGGAGATACGTGTGTGTGTGTATGTGTGTGTGTGTGTGTGTGTGTGTGTGTGTGTATGTGTGTGTGTGTGTGTGTATCAGTTTATTGATCTATTTGGGAAGATTATATTCATTCAAGGATCATTAATGGAACAGATAAAATGTACAGCACAGTTTTCCTTGTGCAAGGCCCTTCTGGTTTAAAAAGGCAAATGGCAGGGCTGGAGAGATGGCTCAGTGGTTAAGAGCACTGATTGCTCTTGCAGAGTCCCTGAGTTTGATTCCCAGCACCCACATAGCAGCTACAAACTGTCCTTAACTCCAGTTCCAGGAGAATCCAAAGCCCTCTTCTGACCTCTGCAGCATTGCATGACACGGGTGCACTCACATACATGCAGGCAATACACTCATACACATAAAATAAAAATAATAAATAAAATATATTTTTTGAAAAGGCAAATAGCTATATAAACTCTGTACCCTAATCTTGGGGGTAGAACAAGAAGTAGAGTCTGGATTCATTGCCTTATTTTTGAAGGGCAGGTGTCAGGAGCCCAAATCATGAATTCTGGAGGCAGATTGCTTATATTATATTAAGTAGCACTGTAACATTTCACCCAACTTTTTTGTTGATGTTGACTTTTTGTTTATTTATTTGTTTAATATATATAGGGTCTCACAATTTATCCCCAGCTGGTCTGGAACTCAATATACAGACCAGACTGGGTTCCAAGTCAGAGATCAGCTTGCCTCTGCTTCCTGAGTGATAGGGTTAAAGAGTGCACAAATCTTTTTGTACCTCAGTTTCTCACTTGTAAACTGCAGTTATGTCAAGTTCAAAGAATGTGATGTGATAATATATGTAAGCTCGTATGTGCTACCTAAGCAGCCATGGTTTCTATTCTGTTGTGGTGAATGCTCATCGAACTGTTATTTATTCCTAGTTGGGGTCATGACATAGAACATATCAGCAAAGGCCAGGCATCATCCTTTGCTGTTAATTTACTGAAAGTGCAACTAATGTACCTCGAAGGAGCTGAGGGAGCCACTCTGATTCCTCTGCCTCTAATACCTCTGCCACGACCAGAATCCTCGGAGCCATTTAAGTAAGATAATTCACGTAGTTGTTCCTGACGAATTTCATCATTGTAGTCCTAGAAGAAGAAACAGGACATAATGACTTAATATCAGACATGGGGTCCTTAGAGCTAACACACACACACACACACACACACACACACACATACACAAAATGGCTGGAGATAGAGATATAGCTCAGCATTTGCCTTGCATGGGTGAGATCCTGGATTTGAGCCCCAGCACTCCAAAACAAAAGGAAACATAACAACATTGCATAGCCAGAGCTGAGTCTGAGCCGAGTGTCCTACTTCAAACATGTGATCCCACACTCAAGAGCTTAAGGTTGGAGAGAACTATCTCTGAGGAGATTTCAGGAACTTACTGGGAACATAGTTTCAGGTGAATACAGAATACTGAATGAGCCCTTGTCTCAAAACAAACAAACAAACAAACAAAAAACCCCTAAACAAGCAAACATTCAAAGAAGTCAGTTTTATTTTCTGTCTTGAGTTTTATATACAAAATATCTAAAATGTTATTGCTGAAGATGCATGTACTTAAAATCCTATTATTGCATAGAGAAATTGAAGTTTCTTGTTTTATCAAGGACTATGGACTTTGGATTCCGTGTTCTTAGATATTATAGAAGTTGTTAGCTAGAAAACAGAAGGTAGCAGTGTAGGATCACTGCTTGGAAGGTACCTCGGCTGTAACTGTCAACACGAATATTACTGAAAATCAGCACATGTGCACAAATATGTGTATTCTGTCAAAGTAATTCCTGTTTTATAAAACAAAAGAGAGAGCTCTCATGGCCCAGAGCAGGGGATTTTGTCTTGGAATCATTTATACAACATGCAATACTAGAGTCCTGCTTCAGATAATGGAAACTGTAGAATCCCACTGAACACCTGGCATATAACAGTTTAAAACAAGGAATGTCATATGTGCTTTATTGCTGTGTAACAATGGAATTTAGGGTTCACAACTACAACCACAGATTCAGAGTCAAGCCACTATTTATCCTTCCTCTGTGTGCTTATCAGTCAGGTATTTCAATCATAATGAAGAGTGGATCTGAGTTATTACAGCTAGAAGCTACATTTAACAAAAATGATAGCCTTAATTATTTCTCCACTTAGAACAGACACACACACACACACACACACACACACACACACACATACACACACACACTCCTCCCTAGTGGAGCAATAAGAAGAGTCTCTGGTCAGAAACTTGAAACTTTTATAGTCACTGGGCCAATGAAGTTTGAAACACAGCTTGGAGTTAAAGTCAAGTGTAAGACTTTCAGTGACCAATGCCCAGTTAGAACCATAAACATGGGAAGTATGTGTTAAGTGAGGTAAAAAAAAGAAAGAAAATTCAGTCATCCACACAATGCTCACTGCCAGAACCCAGCAGAGCTGCATCCTATCTGAGAATTCCTAATGCAGACCTTTGCTACATGCTCCAGAAACCGTCTTGATCACAAGCAAAACTGCTAGCCATTCCAAAGCACCTGTTTTCTTATTTTAACATGTTGCTGTTATGTTTACCCTCTTCATCACTGATTATACTAATAGTGGGATTATCACAACTGACAGAAAAGAGTTATACAAGGAAAATGATAGTTTCTAATAAGTCATATATTATTCAGTTTCTACCTCTTAAGTAATACATTCAAGTATCAACTACATTGAAGAATAAACATGTCTATTATGTTGTTAGGAATACAATGCATTGCTATTGCTGCTTGAACAAACCAGCCAACCATCAAAATGGAGCATGAATCTCATAATCTTCCCAAGCAGTGTTATTGGCTTAATGACCTATCATGTAATGCTAATAAAAACCAGAAGAGGGTACTGGATCCCCTAGAACTGGAGTTATGAAAGGTTGTTAGCAGCCATGTGAGTGCTGGAAACCAAACAGGGCTCCTCTGCAAGATCAGTCAGTGCTGTTAATTGCTGAGCCATCCCTCTAGCCCTGAAGGTTAATTCTTAATGTAAGTAAAACTACTCTTGTTAATATCCAACCAAGTTCCTTATGAGCTTAGCTAGAAATTTTCATTTTAAGTGAGGAATCATTTTCTAGGTTTATAGAAGCCATGAGAATGCAGACAAGTGTCCTGCTTCAGATAATGGAAACTGTAGGATCAAGTGTAACTGAGTAAAACTCCAGTAGCTATGTTCTGAAACACTGTGGCTCCCAAGCCAGGCTACCCAAGAGCTTCTCAGTTCATGATCAAATATATTTTGATGCTCAAATATGCCTATTCTAGGAGACACGGAACTCTTCTGTTCCTCAAGGATTCCTTTATGGCATTGTAGAACTACCTTCTAACTTCATTGCACCAAAGGCTCACATATCTCTTTTCTTGGTCAGATACAGTGTGAGAGGGCCCTCCTTGTTCCACCCATGGCTACTTTGTTTATGTCACAAGAGTATTTTTCCTAATAAAATCTCTCCATGTTTAATCCCCTTTTGGAATCTCTTTTATCAAGAATTCAGCTTAAATACAGAAATCTGACAAAGTCACGTGTTGTAATAACAAACTGAGAGCTTTGGCAAACTCATTCATAGTGACACTGGTGGAAGCTACTCCATTCAACATATCCTATACTGTTGTTGAACTAGTGTACCTGCTATTCTCCTTTTTAAATGTGGGTATAGATAGGTTGGATATTAAACTCATTACTGATTACTAAAGAAGGCAATAATTAGGATTCAAGAAAAAACTGCAACTTGTCTCAGACTTTAAGGAAAAATGGGGAAGAGCCATGGAAACCAGCAAACAGAAGACATAATTTGAGTCAGAGATTAGGACGATTTTCTACTATACAAGGACTATGGCAGCCATGGACAAGCTGCCTTCTGCATGTGTGTGGTGGGATATGCAAGGAAGAATATGAATGCCCAAAAGTAGCTTAAGAAGGTTCTGGTAGGAAGTAATGCAAATTTTAATTTTTTCCTGTAATTTCCAAAGGCCTTTTTGATATCAAAATCAGTTTTTAAAATGTACCACTAGAAATAATAACAGATACATTCACAATACATTTTAGACGCCCCTTTCCCAGAATGTGATAAATTCACTCTATGAAACAGTTTCTATTAAATTCACGAGTGTTCTCTTTGGCTTCTCTGACAAGGCCCACCCACTGTGATGGCGTATGGTATAAACAGCATACACAGAAGCTGAGAGCATATAGAGACTTGGACGTTGCTAGAAAGGCCTTGTGCTCACAGTCCACACGTTTAATGTATATGCATAATTTTCCAGTTACGTACACTCTCGTCCATCTGGTGTAGTGGCATTTTGCCCAAATGCAAACTGGAAAGATTATTTCACTTGCATTTAGATGCCAGGTAATGGCAGGTGTTAATAGACTACCTGGGGGTGCAGTTAGGGACCATTTTCCTGCCAAATTCCCTCCACTAAGACTCCATGGGCCCTGGTGCCACATATTTAAAACTGTGATCATGGATTAGTGAGATGACTCAGTGGATAAAGGCACTTGCTGCCAAACCTTACAACCTGAGTTCATTCCCCTGAAATCATGTAGTAGAAAGAGGGAATTAATTCCTGAAAGTTGTCTTAAGCCCTCTAAATGCACCTCTCCTCCATGCACACAACAAATAAATTAATTGAAAAAAAAATCACTTATAACGTGAATGTAGACTCAACCCTACTGCTAAGACTGCCAGATGTCTTCAGGAGAAAATGAAATGTAGCCTGGAATCCTTCTGGGTCATGACAAATCTCAGCTCCTATAAACCAGAGTAACAAACAAGAAGGTGAAACTGAGCGTGATGGCACATGCCCTCAATCCCAATAACTTGGAAGCCAAGGCAGGAGGTTCACGAGTTAAAGGCTACCCTGTATTACAAAAGTCAAAACCAAATATAAAGAAAATGTAGGCCCTGAGCCAGCCTCATACTTGTAACTGAGTTGGACTATATAGAAAGTTATTTTATTAAATGGCTAGCAGATATTATTTAGCAAATCAAAGGTTTAGATCACATCACTGAATAGCACAGGGTGGACTTTACTCAGCTCAGACTGCATATCAGAAAATTCATTAGCAAAATATAGGCAACGAAGAGTAAATTATCAGTAATCAGCCAGTGAATGACTGCATATGTGTTATATAAATCTTTATAAAATTACTCAGCAAAGAAGATTGGATACAACAAACTCAGAATATTGTAGACTTTGAGTCTTATATTGCTACCAGGGGCAATTGTTGATCCCTCCCCCAATTTTCTCTTTTTTCTCTATTATTAAAATCTTATTGTAAACTGTGCAAAAATAATCAGCAACTATGATGATATTAAAACAAATAGGATATGTATATTTTACAGGATTATCAGAAAGGCTTATTGTTTACTTTGACTTTATTGAACATTGGCTATTGACATATGGGTCTGTGTGTCACAATCTTTGGAATGAACAAGAAAGAACTCAAGTGTTTGGTGTGAGATTGTTACACAAATGAGAGTTTAGCAAGTCAGCTACGTCCTCAAGACAGATACAGGATACTAGAAAAATATGCAGATTAATGTAACTGTCAGATTTGAGCTGTCATGAACACCAAGTTTCATTTGTCAAGGCAAAGTCAAAATGATTATAAACATGTTCAGCAAATTTTCCTGGCAAATTGTTGTACATATGGTATAGGAACCTGTTGCTGTGCTCTATGGTGGCCTGACTCCAGTCTTGGGGGGCAGGGGATGAGTAGGCACGAAATCAACAACACAGACTTAAGGAGATGCTGCTCAGTAGCGGGCCACCAGCAAGCTCGTTTATTGCGTACAAAGGGCTTTCCTATATACCCCCAAACCTCCCTCATTGGCCCTGAGGGTTGAGCTGTATATTGGTGTGGCCATCGCGTCATCTCTCTCTAGCCTGGGTGGCAGATAACAGGTTAGCAGTTTGAGGAAGTAGGTCGTGTTAGACTGGCGTGCCTGCGGAGAAGTCTCCAGGTCTGGTATCCTGGCCGATCCCCACAGGCCCCTCCTACAGAAACCTTATTGAATTTTCCATAAAATTGGCATTTTAATATTTCAATATAGTATTGTTATTAATAGTAAAGTCCTGTTAGTAAAGATCACCTGGACAAGGTGAGTTCACCTTAAGCCATACTAAAGAGATAGGCAGAATAGTTAGTTCTTTAGAGGGATGTTGCATGTTTCTGTCACAAAATCCTTGGCTCTAATACTTATTAGGCTACAAACATGCAGCTTCTTATCTGCCAACTTCCAAATTCTTAAGAAAAGCATGACCTCTCCTTTTTACCTTTCTGTCTCTTTTCTACCCATTTTTCCTCCACACTCTGGGCTTCTCCAACACTTTGGGTTTCCTTATTTTTTCTTTACCCTCTTCCACCATGTGGCAGCTAGTGTGCTGTGTGTCAGAATGGCCTTTTTCCTTCTCTCCTCCATTCTCCATCTCTGGGAAGCTTCTGAGATTTACAGCTTGCCTGCTCCAAGGGTTTTTCTCTTTAACTTTAATAAAATTATCTTCAAGCTCCCACTTAGTCCATTCAATTCTTTTATTAATGACTAAGAACTTAAGAGGGTCCATAAGAGGGGACTCTAATTTCCCCTGTCATTACATTAATTTATAAGTACATGAAAGAAACTCTTTTTTAACCCAAAATAATTGCTTTTGAAAAGTTTACTTTATAACAGGGGAGAATTTGAGCACAGTCCCTCATTACCACAAATTTTTCAATGGAGTTTCTCACATTTGGGAAATCACAGGGACAACACATACCAAGTACAACAGATGAGCCTTGCTCTTGGAAAAACTACCACCTTCATCATGGTATTTCTACCTCCAGGCAAGTATAGAATAGTTACTTTCTTAATATAATAACCCAATGTCCTCAAATGTTTCTTAAATAATAAATCATTGTGGCAAGGATATAATGAAAAGTGTATGTGAAAGTTTTGCCCATAAAAAGGATGGATGGACACATTCATGTGAATCAATGCTATCAGCAAGCCTGTAGTTTCAGGCCTTTCGATGCACATGTGAAATTCTAAACTAAATTTTCCTTCCTGCTTCCAATTAGATGTTTTAAAGCTCACAAAAGTTTCCAAAATCTATGGATATTTGTAAAACATCATTGGTAACCAACTGCTTTCTGATTTAATTTGAGGCCTGCTACATAAGATGGAACTTATCTCTGGTACTATAAACTTGGTCCAAAGCCTATGGTTGGCAAGTCATAGGCCCTAAGGCAGAACCTACAATTGCTGGTTTGCTAAACAGTCACATAGGCAAACTGACTTGTAAATAGTTCTGCTTATACCAATAGATCTGGTCTGTTTTCAACCTTGGTCAAAGAAGCTTCTTTTTGTAGTGGACAATAAGTTAATGCAGAGTTCATAACTGGTCAAAGTGTTGAGACTAAGAGAATGTGAGAGCTCAGCCCTAATTGGGATATCCATAGTAACTGTTCCTGTTGGCATGCCTCAGGGAACATGCTAGAAAAGGAGGCAGAGAGAATGTAAGAACTAGAGAATGGGGGTGAGTGCTGTGAAATGCTGTCTTCTGGACATGACATGGCCACTGCACTTGTGAACTTAAAGAACCTGTGATTACTTACAAAAAGTCATCACGAGATCAATTCTGTCAAAATTTACCATGAATGGGGTAGGGGTTCACGAGACCCTACCCCTAGATGAGGAACTATGGCAGTTGATGATTGCCTAGAGACAGAGATTCATTTTTCTTTGAGGGTGTGTCCAGTGGCAGGTTGTTCACATTGCAGTGGATGGACCCACATCTATGCACATACAGGCATCACTAATTAGACTCAGTGGGTTATAAATTTTAAAAGTACTTGAAGTTGGAAAGGGCATATCATCCAGAAATAGTTGGTGAGGGGTGGGTAGAGCATGGATATGGTCAAAATACATAGCATACATATATGAAATTTTCAAGAGATAAATAAAAATAATATTAAAATATTATTGGCATAATTTTCCAATGTCCCCCTGGTTAACCTTAAATTCACTGTGTAGCCAAAGGAGAAAGAGGATGACTGAATTTCTGACCCTTCTTCCTCTACCACTTGAGTGCTGAGTTTGAGAGTGGGCCACTGTGGTATAGGACTGTCCTTGAACAGACATGGACACATGACTGCTTCCCAAGTTTGATTGCACCTTCTTGCCTAGGATCATCACAGCTAGGCTTGTTGACTGTTATGTTCCACAAGAAAGGAGGTACAGGGAGAGTAATCCACACCTCCTAACAGTCAGCCCTAGTTGCCAGAGAGGGAGAGGCTAAGGGTATATAAACTGAGGAGGCCATAGAGAAGCTTTCACACCATTATGTGTGACTCTGGGGAAGTCACGATCCATGCTTGGATGGAGACTTTCCAGTGTAGCCTTAGAAGAGGAGTACCACACTCCTATAAGTAAACCCTCACCCATTACTCTGTAAGTCCAATTAACTGCTTTTCCAGACTGCAATTTGGTGAAATTGGAACTTGTTTTGTTGTAGGGACCAAGGGAGGAGGGAATCAGATGTTTGTGTCTCCCAAAAGGAATTTTAGCTACAGCCACCACACAACTTCATGAGATGTTGCAGGTTTGTGAATGTTAGGTAACTACTCTACCAATTCTGGTACCTCCCAGTGCCTGTAGATTGCTTAAGTTAGCAATATTTACACAGGCAAAGCACGAAGCACCTCTGAAGGCACGAAATCTATCTCTCACAAATTATTCCTATTGTTCTACGTTATTTGTAGCATCACTACAGTTCTGGGAATCCAACCAAACATTTAGGATACTTCCGTGTTTGTTTTATCCATATTTAGAATATGGATATAGCATATTTATTCATAAATCATAAATCAATATTAGAATTGTCAAATTCTGCCTAAGCATTACAAAGGAATATTATGTTCATAATTATTAATGTAAGCAGTGATTTGATTACTACAAGCAGTTTGAAAAAGTAATACAGGATCAATGAGAAAATCCATTAAGACTTCAAGAGAGTGAGAAGACAAACCACAGACTCAGAAAAATTTATAAAAGCAAATCTGATACCAGACTGTTACCATCAATAAACACAGAACTCACCCTTTCTCCTTCCAGTCCTGGGCACAGGCCCACTTCTTCTCTTGGCACCCCAGACCTCTGTACTACTTTCTTGGCCCAGATTGCCCCAGTGCTTCCTGATCCTTTCCACCCAGACCAACCCAATTCTCAGTCTACTTTCCTAGAGACCTCACAACCTACCCCACCCACGAACTGCCTTTGCACAATCAAGACCAGCCTTCTTCCCTGGCTACCACCACCTCAGCCTGCCTGGGATTCCTGAGGCCAGTCTCCTTCCCTGGTAAGTTTAACTCCGCCCACTGTGCCCTTACTCCCACAACGTGATTCAGTCTTGGAGCTCCCACATCCTGTTCTCCTTTAGCCCTGGGCACAAACTTGCTTCTTCTTTTGGCACCCCAGACCTCTGGACTACCCTCTTGGCCCAGATCCCACCACCATTTCCTGATCCTTTGCACCGAGACCAACCCAATTCTTCAGTCTATGTCCCTAGAGATCTCACAGCTTGCCCCTGCTCTCAACTTGCCTTTCCACACCTGAGACCAGCCTTCTTCCTGGCTGTCCTCCCAGGTGGTCCCCTCACCACCAACAGATCTGCTCAGTCAGGACTCTGACCAGTCTCCTACTTAGCAAGAACTTGAAATACTCACCAGTTTGTCTTCCATACCCAAACAAAAAGTGACTAAGCTACAAAAATAATATTAACAGAACCAAAATTAAATTAAACAAAAACACAGTAGTTCCTGATGAACACATAACCAACAAAGAACATCCATATGCCCAAATGGCAATGCAAAAACACTAGCAATATGAAAAATCAGGAAAATATGTCCCCAACAGAACCTGGGAGTCCTACATAAGTGCACATATTGAGAGCCCCCACGTAGAAACCCAGAACACAGAATTTAAAAGAACAATCATAAACATGATCAAAGAACTTCAAGAAAACACAAACAACTCAAAGAACTCAAAGAGGAAAGGCACAAACTTTTGACAGAAGTCCAAGGATATATAAATATGCAGCTTAATGAAATATCAAAAACATAACTTGGAAAAGCAAATTCACTAAAGAGATAGAAATAGTGAAGAAAACCCAAATAGAAAATGAGCACAGAACTGAAAAACTCAATGAGCCAATTAGAAACAACAGGAGAAAGCAGAATGAATGAAATGGAAAACAAAGTATCGACTGGAGAATAAAGTTGAAGATCTGGATTCCTTAAGCACAGAGTATGCAAATTAAAAAAATAGGAATGGAATACTCAGGAAATGTCAGACAACGTGAAATGACAAAATCTATGTATTATAGGTATACAGGAAGGAGAAGAAACTCAAACCAATGACGTCAGATCTTTGATAGGATTTTGAAGAAAACGTCCCTAAAAGAGAAAAGATATACCTATAGAGATTCAAGAAGCACAGAGAACACCATTAAGACATGATCAGAACAGAAAGTCCCCATAGCATATAATAAAAACATTAAATGTACAGAACCAAGAGAGGGTACTGAAAGCTTCAAGAGTAAAACAACAAGTCACATACAAAGGAAAAACCATCATAATTACATCTGACTTTTCAGTGCAACTATGAAAACCAGAAGAGCATGGAACAAAGTATTCCCTGTTCTAAACAATCATGGATGCCAATCCCAAATACTTTATCCAGCAAAGATATCTATCAAGTTCAAAGGGGAACAGAAAATTTTCCATGACACAAATAGGCTGACAGAATTCGTGTCTTCCAACCAGCACTACAGAGAATACATGAAGCAATAGAAAGGACCGAATAAAGGAATGCGTATGCCCAAGAGGCAGCAGAAAGAAAATTAAGGTATAACAACAGAAACACAAAATAGGGCCACAAATGCAAAGAAATTAAAATGACAGCATACAATAAACACCTTTCAATAATAACACTAAATATAAATGGCCTCAACTCCCCTGTCAAAAGACAGAAGCTGGTGCAATGGATCAAGAAAGTAAACCCAACTTTTTGTTATCTTCAAGAAACTCATCTCATCTTACTTTCAAGATCAGACACTATCTTAGGGTGAAGGTTGGAAAAAATATTCCAAGCAAATGGCCCTAAGAAGCAAGCAGGTGTCACAACTTTAATATCTGAAAAAATAGACTTCAAATTAAAACTCATCAGAAGAGATAAGAGGGTTACTTAATTTTAATCAAAGGAACAATTGAGCAGGAAAGTATTACAATCATGAACATTTATGCATCTAACTCTAGAGCACACAATTTCATAAAATCAGTAGTCCAGGACTATAAAACAGAGATTGACACCAAATCAGTGATATTGGGTGACTTTAATACTCCACTTACTTCAATAGACAGAAGCCGGACAAAGAATAAACAGAGAGACAACTGAATTAAATAACATACTACAGGAAATGGACTTACCAGATATATAGAGAATATTCGACCCAACCACCAAATAATACACTTTCTACTCAGCAACTCATGAAAGTTATTCTAAAATTGACCACATTCTGAGGCACAAAACATATCTCAACATATACAAAAAAACTGAAATAATACCATGACTTTTATCAGACCACAGTGCAATAAAGCTTATAATCAACAGCAAAAAAGCCTCTAGTAAACACACCAACTCTTGGAGATTAAACAACATACTCCTGAATCATGGATGGATCAAAGAAGAAACTAAAAAAAAAATATTCCTGGAAGAAAATGAAAATGAGATGCAACACAACAAAACCTCTGGGACACCCTAAAAACAGTCCTAAGAGGGAAGTTTATAGCTCTT